GGAGTGACAAAGTGTGTGTGTGTGTGTGTGTGTGTGTGTGTGTGTGTGTGTGTGTGTGTGTGTGTGTGTGTGTGTTCTCTCTTCTGTGTAGCATAACATGTGAAATGTGTGTATGATGAATGTAACACTGTGTGTCAGAGGTCTAGGAGAAGGCCCTCTTGGCCCATAGACAGGAACTGTGTGTGTGTGTGTGGCAGTTGTCACTCAGTTGCCAAACCCTTCTGCTCTCGTGCCTAGTAATATGCATTTAAACAAACATGAGTCGTAACATATTTTCTGAATCCACCTTAATGAATCTAATAGACTTTATTGTTTCTACTGCAAAGTTTGACATGTCTTGTGTGAAGACCTCTTGACTTTAACGGCCCTCTTTACTGTAGAAACTCGTTTCCTAACCACAGGGGATTTCAGACATGGCGTTAAGTCTGATATGGTTTTATTTCTCAACTCATTCATCAGTTCATTACGTTCATTCTTCGCTGCCTGACAGCAGACTAACTTCTGAGGAAAGTCACACTTTTCAAGATAATCTCAATCCGTCCTGTCTCACTTTTAATAGAATCCTCCAACAGACTTTAATCTGCCGAATAGATTTAGCTTAAAGTCGAATCATTTACTTCCATTTTTCAAAATGCAGTTCCTTTTTTTTGTTGCACTTTCCTCCAACTAGGCGTCATGCTTTGGTGAAGCCGCCCCTACGTTAGCTTCTGTAGAGGAACAGGTCCTTCATGACTCCGCAGCCTGTCTCTGTTCCACTCTTCAACATGCTGCCACTTCCTTGATTCCCTCCTGCTGTCATGACCTCTTCTCTTCCATTCCTTATGTTGTCCCGCTCTCCTCCCTCCATCCACCTCCTCTGCCTCACCTTCACCTATCTGTGTGTGTTGTGAGGTGTGTGCATTGATTTCCCTTCCTCTCCCACTCTCTCTGATGTCCTTCTGCTCTCTGTGTGTCTTTGTTTCCTCTTTCCTCCCTGCAGTCTCCAGCGACCCCTCAGCCCCCCAGGCAGTGTCCTCCAGCCAAGATGGCTCCTTCTCCTTCTCCCTCTCCTTCAGGCCCTGCCCTCCAGACCTCCTCCTCTTCCTCCTCTTCTTCCTCCTGTCCTGCACTCCGCCCAGTGAGACAACCCTCTTTACTCGCCTCGTTTTTCTGCCTTCTGTCCTTTAGCAGTGCAGATTTAATTTGTCCTTTGGTGTCAAAATACCAACACATAGTTTTGGTGGCTTCGTGGAGGTCTCATCTTATAAACATATTTAAATATTGTTCGAAAAAAAGTCAGCTGTTAGCACTCAGAGCTCACAGCTCCTCATATCTGTCCAGAAACTAGACAAAAGTTAAACAAGTACAAACCACAGACTGTCTGTGTCATGGAGAATACAGTCGCTAGTTTATTTATGTCTGTAGGCCGTTGTTGTGAGTGTGGACGGTCGGAGCATTTACTGCGTTAGCTTAGCCTGATCTCCATTCAGAAAACACACATTTTAAAAGGTTTTTCGACTGCCGTCTGCAGACCGGTATCATTTTGAAACGTGTATTACAATTAAATCACGGTAAAATATGTTCATTGTGTTGTAGTTGTAGCCCCCTTGCCAGCGATTCTCTCTGACCATTCAGCAGTCGAGAGTGTTTACGTCACTGGTTTAGCACATTTAGCCCGGTTGTTGGCCCGGTAAGAACCTTGATTTTGGAGGGCCAGAAAAAAGGTGAAAAAGTAGCCCTGAGCCGGAACTAGCCCTAGTGGAAAAGCAACAAGCAGCACGTAGCAGCACGTAGCGGCACGTAGCGGCACGTAGCAGCACGTAGCGGCACGTAGCAGCACGGTTTAAGCGGGCCGGGGCTGCAGTGGAAAAGCGCAATTATTAGTGAACGTCTCACGTAAATATTGTAAATGTTTTTCATTCTCCTTAGCTATGGTTATCATTTTCAACATGAACATAATCTTGGAAGTAAGGAATAAAACTGATTTCCACCGACTGCATGTATAGCATATAGCGGGTGTTTCTGCGACATCCTGTGCTGCTGGAGATCATATTTCTATGATGATCTCCTTTTTTCTAAAGAACTGAGGCTCTGATCAGACTCTGTGTTTCCTATCTTAATATTGCGTACTATCCATATTACATCTGGACCCAGCTCTCCGCTCAGTGCAGATTTAATTTCCCTGCTCAATTTTGAACTAATCTGAGGAGAAACTAAACAGAGAACATGCAGTAATCTGTGCTCTGAGTGGAGGCTGCAGGCCTGAAAACCTTTCTGTAGGCCTCTCACTAAACTACGACATATTGTCTAAGACATAAATGCAGTAAACAACATTGTTGTCCTTTCAAAAATATGTTTTGCCACTGTCTAGGGCAGGGCGTTACGATGTCAACATGTCTATTTAGTTTTCAATATAGTTTGTATCGCAATAAAAGCTAGGCCTATAAACATTGACTTGTTCACTAAATAGTTCACACAAGAATATCCAACAAAAGCCATGTGATTATTTCATTAAGACTATTTATTTATCGACTCACTAGAAGACATGATATATGTTGTCAGCACAATAGGACATTTCCTACATGATGACAGAAGATTATGGACGTTTCTCCAAGCCCTAACAGGGAGGGATGAAACCCTCTTTAATGGTCTCACATGCAGAGCACACAGCCCACACAGTGAAATGTGTTCTCTGCTTTTAACCCATCCTAGTACCAGGAGTCTAGTACTAGGAGCAGTGGGCAGCTATTGTACAGCGCCCGGGGAGCAATTGGAGTGAGGGGGGAAGGGGGGTGTCCGGTGCCTTGCTCAAGGGCACCACGACAGGGCAGGAGGTGAACTGGGACCTCTCCAAGCAGCAGTCCACACTCCATATTTTAGGTCTGGTCGGGGACTTGAACCGGCGACCCTACGGCTCACAGTCCAAGCCCCTACGGACTGAGCCAATGCCGTACTGGATGTATGTGAGCTTTGGTGCTCACTTTCATAACCCTATGTTCCAAGAATCCCGTTCAAGCCCTTCACAATACTTCAAAAAATGGACACAGGGTTCCCTTTCTACATTACTGAAACAGTTTCAGTGTTTGAAGATACAACTCTGTCTGCAGTGAAAGGATAAGAGAGATTTGAAGATAAACAGAGGAAGGTGCCAGGGGACAGAATTACTCAGAGGAAAGCCAGCCGGCTGAATAACAGAAATCAAAACAGACAGGTGAGGAAAATAAAGGAGAGGAAATACGACGCAGGAGAACACAATCAAACGCTCAGAGACGAAAAGCTTCAACTTTGGACTCTCCTTACTGTTCAAAGGGAACTGATGGTGTTCTTTATTTGGAGGAGGCCTTTTTACTGGCGTGCACCCATCACAACTGATGTTACACATAAACGATGCAAAACTAATCTATATTTGTTGCCATATTAAGATTAAAGGGATAGTTTTGCCCCTCTTTGCCTTGCCCTTGCTATGAAAATGTCACGATTCTTGTGTTGTGTCCCGTTTTTTGTTTTGTGTGTCTGGTAGTGGGTGTTTTTCTGTTCTCCTTGTCATGTTTTCCTCCCTGTGTATTGTCTGGTCTTTCTCCCTGGCCCTTTCTCATTTCTCTAACTCCCCTCCTCGACTCCTATCCTCGAGACTTAGTCCCGCCCACAAGAGATGTGAGCGGAGGAGCCGAGGAGGGGAACCGAGGAGAGAGGAGGGGAAGCAGCAGGCGGTTAGAGAAATGAGAACTCCTCTCCTCTGAGCGGTAATTTTAAAGAGACGTCCATTAATGATGACAGGAGGCACAGCAGCCCTCTGTCTCATGGACAGATGTGTTCATGACCACTTATATATTTACTTTTGATTCATTCACAGTGCGGTATAATGAGACAATAACAGGCTACAGATGCGGACACACACACACACACACACATATATATATATACATGTATATTATATATACAATTTCAGAATCAAACAGAGCACTCTCATAATAACGTAACACTATCAGAGACTGGATATATCCGCCCCTCTCTCTGGTCGCTACAATGAGGAAAATAAATTAAGGGCCAAAAGTTTTATTTTCAAGTATTAAAAGTAAGCAGAGGAAACCAAACCAACTGAGACCTGTCTGTCCGCAGCTCTCACTCACACACACACACACACACACACACACACACACACACACACACACACACACACACACTGAGACGCGACCGAACGGACACAACGGAGNGAGTCCTCTCCTGCTGATGTTCAGGTGTATATCAGTATGTAGTGTCTCTACTTTAAAGAGTCCTCTCCTGCTGATGTTCAGGTGTATATCAGTATGTAGTGTCTCTACTTTAAAGAGTCCTCTCCTGCTGATGTTCAGGTGTATATCAGTATGTAGTGTCTCTACTTTAAAGAGTCCTCTCCTGCTGATGTTCAGGTGTATATCAGTATGTAGTGTCTCTACTTTAAAGAGTCCTCTCCAGCTGATGTTCAGGTGTATATCAGTATGTAGTGTCTCTACTTTAAAGAGTCCTCTCCAGCTGATGTTCAGGTGTATATCAGTATGTAGTGTTTCTACTTTAAAGTAAGTCCCCTCCCTCGCTGATAGTTCTAGGTGTATATCAGTATGTAGTGTCTCTACTTTAAAGAGTCCCCTCCTGATGATGTTCAGGTGTATATCAGTATGTATTGTCTCTACTTTAAAGAGTCCCCTCCTGATGATGTTCAGGTATATATCAGTATGTAGTGTCTCTACTTTAAAGAGTCCTCTCCAGCTGATGTTCAGGTGTATATCAGTATGTAGTGTCTCTACTTTAAAGAGTCCTCTCCTGCTGATGTTCAGGTGTATATCAGTATGTAGTGTCTCTACTTTAAAGAGTCCTCTCCAGCTG